TCTTATCGCGGGCCTGAAAGCGCCCGCTGCCACACAGCCCAACTGCAGCTGTTCAAAGGCTTGGCTTTTCCTTGGCGGCTTCAGGTGCAAAGGCTGCCTGAGGGTTCCGGGGCTTAGGGTTTCGGGTTTAGGGCTTAGGGTTTTAGGGTCCTACTAAATCCTTAGTATGAGTAGGGACTACGTATATCAGGGATCAAAACTAACAAGCGTTTATCAATCAGGGGTCTACGATACATCAAAATCACTTTAGCCTTAAAAGGTATCCATCAGCTACGAAGAACCAGTCAAATCATGCATCCTGAGCTTACCTAACTTCTAAAGCCCACAAAGCCGAACTTTCAGTCTCCTTGTTATAGTTCATATAGAAACGCAACAAGTTGAAGTCCTAAGAGCCAACCACAGGAACGCCAAGAGAACGCTGAACTTCATGCTCTCGAAACCCTATAACCTCTAAACCATAAGGCCCTAAACCCTACGTCTACAGCCGTCAGCAGCCCCCTCTGGCAGTTTAAGCAACAGTCTTTGGGTACTGCCCCCACCGCCCTGAACCTTCAAACCTAAACCCCAAACCCTAAAACCTAATTAAATCCGGAACCTAAACCCTAAACACTGAAACCTGAACCCTCAAACCTCAAACCCGAGCCCTCAACCCTAAAACCTAAACCTTTCGTCTTCGCCAGGGTGCGCTCTCCACCGGACAGCTGCTGCAGCGCCTTTTTCACTGCCTTCCGGCTGTCTGCTGGTTTAGGGATTCGGCCGATTTCTGTATAGCTGGGTTTAGGGGTTTGGGGTTCAGGGATTGTAGATTGGGGGGTTTAGGGATTGGGACTGTTTCTTGAAAGCTGGGTTTAGTAAGGGTTCAATGTCTTCTGGGGTTTAGGCATTCGGACTATTTCTTTGAAGCTGGGCTTGTGGCTCAGGGGTTGGGTTTAGAGTTTGAGGATCAGGGATTAAGGCTTGTAGGGTTTACAGGTTCGGACCATTTCGTTAAAGCTGGATTTAGGGTTTAGGGGTTTGGGGTTTAGGGATCGGGGCTTCCAGATGAGGGCCTCGACGATGCCTTATGGTTCAGGGCTTAAGGTACCCAGAGGTACCCAGAGACTCCACTATTCCCTTATTAAGGAATATGCATGTATGATTTAAGGCATATTCCTTAATTAAGGAATATTGGAGTCTCTGGGCAGTTTCAAATTTAGGGGTTCAGGGTTCAGGGGCTGGAGGTAGTTCTTCAGGGTGAAGGATTTAGGGCGTAAGCGGGTTCTGTAGAGCTGTTGATGCCTGTTCGGCAGCGGTTCGAAGAAGGCTTGGGCTTCATGTTTACAAAGGTTTAAGTTTGGATTTGGGATAAAAGTAGAGACCTCGGGCAGAGGGTGGTGGATCCAGGGCCGCTCCATGCTTTTGCAGTGGAGATGTGGGTCGAAGAGCCCATCTACTGAAGTCTTCTACTCGAACTTCGTTGAAGCCACTTGCTGGGAGAGCTGTTTCCCTTGAAACCGTCGAGAACTTGCAAAGAAGCCCTAAACCTCAAACTCGAAAGCCTAAAGCCAAAACTGACCTAAACCTTAAACCCTCAACCCTATACCTTAAGCCGTTCTGGAGCAAATAAACCTTAACTTGGGTACTGTCTCCACTCAGTAACAGTTGAATAATATTCATAACATAGATATATTAGGACCTTGACAGTAGCCCTATTATCGACTGCTACTGTATGGGGGGCAGTACCCAAACCTTAGCCTTAAAGCCTGCACCCGAGAAACCCAGCCTGGCTGTTGGCAGTGTCTAGCTGCCTCTTCGACGCAGAGAGAACGTTTTGCTTGTAGATGGCCAGAATGATCTTCAGAACGTGCCTCAGAGTTCGGGTTTAGGGCTTAGGGTTGTTCGGGCCTCTTAGAGGCCTTGATATACCATTAGGGCCTTGGGAATATCACAGCACTAAACGCACTAGTTTGGAGCCATAGGAAGAGTATTGGCAATGGATTGGAGCCCCTACAGTACATGAGGGCCTAGATCTGGTAGCCTTAGAGTTTTAGGTGAAACCTCAAGACTCCGTGAGACAAACCGTAGGCCTCTCTACTTTTGTGCTGTTCTCACTCCCGTTTAGGAGTTCGGAATGTCTCAAATTGAAGTCTGGACATTCTGATCCCTGAAGCTGCAGCCCCAAAACCGAAATCTCTAAACCAGAACCCTTGGATCCCAATTCTAAACCACTGAACCGGCCAAAAGAACGCAACCCTGCCGAGAAACACAGAAAGAAAACTCAATCCTGCCGAGAAACACAGAAAGGCAAACAAACGAACAAACAAACTAACTAACAGGCAAGCCAGCAAACGAACAAACTAACCAACCAACAAGCAAGCGGGCAAGGAAGGAAGCAAGGAATCAAGCAAACAAGCAAGCAAGCAAGCAAACACAAGAATACAAAACAGACACCTAGAAACCCGAAAAGTGAAAAATTCCTAAACGTCAACCAGAAGAACGCCAAGAACCGAAGACAAAATGTACCCAGAGAACCCAATACCCCTCAATTAAGGGATATGCCTTGAAATAAGATAGGGGCCTTAGCACTATGATTTAAGGTAAGGGGCACTGGGATCTCTGGGTACACAGAAAGCGGTCGAGGAGCTCGTGCTGCACGAAGACACCCAGCAAGCGACTGTCTGACAAACCTTAGGCCTTAGGGCTTCAGGGTTTAGGATTTAGGGCTTTAGGGTTTAGCGTCCCTTTAAAGGGATCTATAGGGGTTCCTTTAAAGGGATCTGTAGGGGTTCCTTGAAAGGGATCTGTAGGGGTTTAGGGTTTAGGGGTTCAGGGTTTAGGGGTTCAGGGTTTAGGAGTTTAGGGTCCGGACCTCAGCGAACTTTCCGAATTCAAAACACAGGGTTTAGGGTTTAGGGTTTTAGGGTTTTAGGGTTTTAAGGCTTTAGGGTTTAGGGGTTTAGGGTTTAGGGGTCTTAGGGTTTAGGGGTTCAGGGTTTAGGAGTTTAGGGTCCGGACCTCAGCGAACTTTCCGAATTCACAGCACACGGTTTAGGGCTTTAGGGTTTTAGGGTTTTAGGGTTTAGGGTTTAGGATTTAGGGTTTAGGGTTTTAGGGTTTAGGGTTTAGGGTTTAGGGAACAAAAGATGCATGCACAGCAAAAAGATATACTCTAGACCTTAGGACGTGCGTGACTAGCCTACCGCCTGAAGCCGGTGTCCCGGCAGGTTCTCGGGAGCCGGTCGGGGCAGCCACTTCCCATGTACAGGCTCACATGCGCTTAAGCCTGTCTGACCTCCTCAGCAACAGCAGGTACACTGCACTCGAATTGCCGTACAACAGCCCAACAAAGGTATTTGTTTTACTTTGTTTTATGTTTTTTTTGGATTGAGAACTGTAATTAGCCACCGATTATGTTGATTTTCCACACAAAGATGTAAAACTTTTTCACTTTGTCGCAGAACTTTAATAACTTTTGGGCAGTTTGTTCCATGTGAGGCATGTCCCTGGTAGATTGATTTTCACTGTTCCATGCGGTTGATCATGAGAGGTGCTTGCATGCACATGCACTGTTGCACGATAGCTTTTTGCATTTTGCCTGCATGGGCTCATGTGACACATACCGCTCCAGTCTTGCATTGAGTCTTGCATGTTGCCCGCTGAGGTCATGTGCAAGGGCTATGATGCATGAGCATTTGTTCATGAAATCTTGCTGCATGCGTTATCATGTCGCATGGTCGCATGGTAGCGTATTTTGGTGTTTCTTTTTCCTGCATCTGCATGCACAGCATTGCATGCTAATGCACTGCAGTCATGGTCATGATCATGTCAGAGTCATGTCATGTGCATGCGCCATGCGCTGCTGCACTGCATGCACTGCTACACTCACTGACGCTCTTCGACTCTTCCCTTGCTTTTGATGCACGCCACCGACAGCATGCTCTGGTGCAGCCGTCGCGGCCGCTGGCAAATGTCGGACAGACCTCAGTCAGCCAGTCAGTCAGCGGATCAAAAGGTCGTGTGTTGAAGCATGTGCAAACAGTGCAGCGGCGGGAGCCAGCAAGACCCAGCAAGACTTTTTTGATCGCAGTTTGTACTGACTGTGCAATCCGCATGAGCGACCATGCAGTACATGCAAACAACGGTGCAGAACTACTGACTACTGTTAGTGAGTTAGTGAGCTGCCAAGTGTATTATGTATCCTTGCAGCCTAGACTTGTCTGAGTTCGTATGACGTAGACGGGACGACATGACGAGTAGCAGACTTAGCATGACTCAGGACTAGACTCAGTACGACTCTATCTTCAGCATAACGTAACTCCCAGATTCAAAGTCTAAATCATCAACTCAATCAAACAATACTCGTAAAGCTTTGTGCCTGTGCTGGCAGAGTTCCAAGTTCCAGCTGTTCCAGCTTGTCGCAGTACTAAGTACTAGGTCCTAGGTCAATGAACTGCCGGTTTAATCCTGGCTCAGATCTCCAAGTAAATAAACAACTCAATGAACAACGGTTTCGACCTGGTTCAGATCTCTAAACTACGGATTGTTGAACCCACACCTCATGTAACAATGCAGCAATGCACTATGCAGACTATGACTATGCACTTTGCACCAATGCACAACAATGTTCAATGCATCGTTCTCCCATGATCGCGCTCGTTGCTTGCATGCGCATGCAGCCTGTTCACACTGCATGACGTCTGCCGGTTGCCAGCCATCTAAGAAAGAGATTGGCAGCCCACCACACCGGCCGGCCAAAAACGGACACGGAGGACGGAGGATACTGTGACTATAACCGTACTACGACGTACTACGACTTACGACACCTACGTCAGCGGTCCGACTTTCGTTTCAACACCAGGGCCAGGCTCGGTACGGTTTTGGCTGCTTTATCATGCAAGTGAGTGCCGTGCAAAATGCATGCATGCATGCTCAGCCAATCATTCACATGCAATGGTGTGACAATTGGTGGTTGATGGCAATCCCTACTTGCTCATTGCACTCCTCTGGCAGTCTCTACGACTCTACTTGAGCAAGTGCACTCCTCGAACAGTCCTCACGGCTGCCTTCTTCTGCTTTGCATCCTTCTTGTCGCCGCCTTTTTTCTTCGATCCTGCCACTCCTGCTGCCGCGCGAAGGACGCATACGGCACCCAAGCCGCTTGCTGCAACCACTTTATCTTCGTCCGCAGCTGCTTTGACCCGCGCGCCCTTCTCCTTCGGCTTCTTCTCTCGAATCAATGAAGCGGCGGGCTCTCCCGACACACCCTCGCACTGCAACCTGATTGATTGGGGTTCAGGGCTTCAGCAGCGGTCTACGGCAACGGTTTAGAGGAGGCAGCTCAGGCAGCTCGCTGACACGGCTCAAACCAATCATAGTACGCATCATACGCCAGCAGCCAGCAGTCAAGGTGGCTACAGACAGCTTTGAGTCAACAATCTAGGGTAATGCGAAGTTTACCTTGAACGATGCCAGCAAGTCGCGACTTATTATAAACGTCCTATGCGCACGTGCAGTGACACACAGCAGATTCAGGACACGAAGCCAATAGACAGTCATGTCTGTCTCGTTCCAGATCTCCTTCTGCTCAGGCTTGTCGGAGTTGTCGGGCTTGTCGGGATTGAAATGCGCTGCAGGTGTCCTTTCATCAGCAAACATGAGGGCCCCAAGCTCCTGGTCGCAAAGGTCGCGACCAGTGCACCGCTCCACCGGCTTTTCCTTCTTAATCGGCACGGCGAGCTTCGCATTGGATGACTCATTGGATGACGTGATAACCCCGGGAGCATCGTCGTCCAAGTCCACGTCCACCACCTCCACCTCCGCCTTGTTCTGTTTGGGGGTTGCCGTGCCTTTCTGCGCTCGCTGCGAAGTTTCTGGGGTGTTCTGCGCTGGCTGCGTGGTTTCTGGGGTGACCTGGAGGCTTTCCTGTGTTGCCTGCTTGCCTTCCTGGGTGACCTGGGTTGCACCGGGCAGATTGGCATGTGTGCCGATATCCATGGCAGGTGGGCTCTTTTTGGGCGGCGGTTTGGGTTTGGTCATGCTGACGGCGCCATGGTTCGAGATGTAGATCATAATGTCCTCCGACTTCAATTCCACCGTGCTGCGCTCTTTGGGACCAGCGTGCTTGGCCAGCCAGGCAGGGACCACCACGTCCCCGGCTGGCGGGGATGGAGGCGGATTCACGAAGAATTCCACGCCTCCCCACTGGAGCAGCATCAGGGACTGCGGGGTTTTGTTGAGCGAGACAGGTCCTACGAAAGGCAATTCCATGTCGTCCGGCGCGTGGCACAGCACTACCCTTTCCCGTGTGGCCGCAGCAGCAGCATCTGCGACCAGAAACACGTGAGCATCTGACTTTTCCTTTGTGTTGGCGTAAAGCCGCCACAGGAGTGATTCGAGCCCCCTGCAGATCGCCTGCACACAAGCAGCAGTCGCAGACACTGGCAGACTGGCAGACCATGGAACTCACAATTCAGACATAACGTTGCAGAGGAACATCAAGTCATGTCATGCATGCTGACTATAGCTTGATATAGCCATGGGCCATTGCGGATCGTGGTTTTGAGCAATTTCTGAACTGGACATGACATGCGTCTGTGCTGTGTGGGTGCGACCGTGACATCTGTGCACTGCCACAAAGCCTTCAGGAACACTGCATCGATGCGCACGCCCAACTCCGACTGGACATCATCCTTCTGAACCAGGAATTCTCCAAAGGCATCCCAGTCTCTGAGTACATCATGAAGCCCGCCGTCATCGTACACCCCCACGTGGGCTTTGTGAATGTCTGCAAGGCTGATCAAGGGCTTGCAGAGGCTCTTCTGCATACTTCGGACCTCTTGGCCAACCACGTCCTTTGAGAATTATCAGTGTGGAATCAGAACTTCTAATCAGGATTGATAAACACGCGTGACAGTCAGTGGTCATGTGACATGAGAGCTGGCATGCATGCAGCAGCGGCTTTGCTACTACCTACTACAAGCAGGCATTAGTGAATCATTCGCCTGGGATAAACATTAAACATGACGTCACGAGTGACGAACCCGCCAACCACGATAAACACGTGTCACGCGACAGTCATGGGACATGAGACATGAGAGCTGGCCCTGTCTAGGAAGTCTGTAAATCTGTAAATGGATGCATGCATGCAGCAGCTCAGCAGCGGCTTTGCTACTACCTACAAGTGACCTACAAGCAGGCAGGCATGCGGCATTAGTGAATCAAGCAGCAATATGCAGTGCAAGATGCAGGCAGGATCTGCAAGCGCGGCCCTACCACTCAAGAACACGAGTCACGACCACAGTAGCATGCAGCCATGCCTAGCATCATGTGACCTGTGTACCATCATGAGTATCACAGTATCATCATGAGCAGCATGCATCGCTGCGTATCCTCATCTTCAGGCTCGTCCTCATCGTCCAGCTCCTGTGCACTGGTTCGTTTGGCTTTTGAAGGGCTTCCTGCGGCATTCATCATCCGGCTGACTTGGCTCGTCACCGTGTCCCTGTCTCCATCTGCCGTGGGCGTGGCTGGCACCACTGCTTCGCCTGTCTCGATCTCGGCTGTCACGCCGCACGACTCGCGCAGAATCTTCGTGGCCTCTGACAAGGAAGTTGCATTCAAGAACATGTTGCACCATTTCGCTGCCCAGTCAGCATCTTGTGATTGGGAGAGCACCTGGGCAAAGGCACAGCTGCAGCAGAGACTGCACAGAACAATCCGGCACGGTTTCGCATGGACAAGTCAAGTGACAAGTTGACAAGCAGTCCACTGGGCAATCCGCGCCACTCCACATGTCACATTACGGCTGCCGGCTGATGGTTGCTCTAAACTTGTAAACAAACGACAAACCACGCTGCCACACTGCGCTGATCATGCGTGCCTATGCATTGTTGCAAAGTTACAAACCCCGGAAGAGAACAGACACGACACACGGTTTACATTATACATTGCATGCCATGCCACATCACTGCCACATCACATCTTGCATGCCACGTATGGTCAGCCAATTACAAAAGCAACAACATAAATATTACTCCAAGCCGCCGAATCGAATCCAGCCAATGCTGCTCCGAAATCGTGAGAACAGGTGACCAAGGAGTGGTCAGCAAGCTCAGGAGCGTCAACGGCATTAACCATCTGCTGCAACATTCGGGCACACGCCGGTTGCACTTTGAGAACACGCAAATCCAGCAGGCTGCGCAATGCCAGGATAGTGTACCTTGCCCGAAGCCCACAAATTGCACCCAGATTGCCCTCTGTGACGAAGATGTCCTGCGAACCTTCAGGAAACACCCCGGCGACTTTCAACTGGCATGACACGGCCGACGCGTAGGCTATCCAAGACGATGGGGCCGCGCCGCTCTTCCCCATTGTTTCGAGCAAGAGCTCCAGCTGAGCAGCCAGGTCGGGAAGCTCGACGAACTGTGAGAGTTTGCTATTCAAGTCCACCCTGAACTTGCTGAGGCCGGTGTGCAATGCGGAAGGTTTGGGGAGCTCGTTGCTGACGAATGCTCTGAGTTGCTCAGATTGATGCTTGTCAAAGTTCTTGATCACGAGCATGATCATCTCTTCATTGCTTGCGTTATCGTCGGCACCATCGATCGTCATGGTGACCTTCTTGCGATTGGCATAAGCAGTACACAGGCATCCGGAATGAATCACGATGACTCACTGACAAGGCAGGGCAGGTAGACTTGACTCGACAAGCAGACAGAGAGACTACAAGTGACAGCCGAGCCTAACAAGCATGAGGCATGACGCACATTCATTGACTGATGGCCGCCTGGCCCACATGGCCTACTGCAGCAAACTCCCCTCGTCCCTCATCCGATATCCTCCTGCAGACCCTCAAGCAGCCTCATGCACATGGATTGAGAAGACGTGCGACGGAGCCGGCACGGCACAGGTTGACTTGAATGCAGAACTGCCCCAGTCCTAGTCCTAAAGTCCTAAAGAAATAGACTCCAGGCAGGCACTCTTGCACACGAACTATGGGCCCGAGCATGCATGGAATGCATGGGCCAATGAATGGGCATCTCACAGAGGAGCGACGAAGACAGGCAGCGGCATCATGACAGAAGGCAGAAAACGCAGAAGACCGACTCTGTCGGTCTAGCACTCGATTCCTACTGACCGACTTACCACCCTACCGCCGACCACTACTGACTATGAGCACCACCATATCCACAGAGTGCCAGTGACTACGAGATTAGATGCGCATCACAACACGGTTTGTGGACCAAGTCAGCGCAAGAACTAACAGTTCAGGAAGTAAGCCCCTGACGGGTGCTTTGCAAAGCTCGAGCAGGTTCGAGGCAAGCGCCAATGGATTGAATTGCTTTTCTCCAAAATTGATTTTTTCTTGGTGTGAAGCATACACCAGTCTTTCGCATTCCTGCCTGAACTTCGAATAGACCTTGAACGCTTTTCCATTGACTGCCACCGAAGTTGTCCAGCACAATTCCAAGAAGAGTGACACCAGGAACTCCTTGGTGCTTGTGAACTCCTTGTCGGAAACCGTGTATGGTAGATTGGTCCTTGCGAACGCGAGGGCTGAAAGGAAATCGTCCAGGGCACACTTCTCTCGCTCCTCGCTGCCCGAACCTGTGGCCTTTAGCCGCGTGGTGAAGGCAGTCGCTTCGCTGCCACCGCGGGTCTTGAGCCCATCTTTGCCTGTCACCACCCCAACCGGGGCCGCCAAAGATCCTGCACCTGCACTATAATTGTCCATATCCTGCATGTCCACGTCTGTGGCCTGTTTCACTGCCTCCTCCACATCATCACCGGCTTTCCTTTTCTTCAAGGTTTTCTTCAGCTGCTTCTGTGCCTTTTTGTCCTGCCTGTCTCGTTTGTTTTCCTGCATCGTTCGCACTGCAGCATCGACATCCATGGCACCGGTAGCTGAAAGCCTTCGCTGCTTTGTGGGTGCACCTGGCTCTGGCTTTTCTGTTGGATCCTTGCATGACTCGAACGATTCGCCGGCGTTGACACGATCCTTTGCCTCTTGCTCCTCTGCCTCGACAGCCTGTTGAGTGATTAGATAAGAGTGGCTAGAGTGGATTGGCTTCGGGGTTACGTTCCAACGACGCTGAACAGGCACAGCCCCCCATAAATAACAAACCCCTAAACGGCCAAAACGGTGTATAGAATGTAAGGTGATGATGCAAGGCCTGCCGCTTCAGCATCTTCTTGAATGTGACTGATTCGCCCATGGGCGTCAGCAGGTTTAACATTGCAAGCTTTCGCTCATCGTTGCTGGCCCCCGCGACACCACTTCCGAAGATGTGCGGCACAGGCCGATGTGTTCCTGATGCCAAGCTCGGAACCTCTGCTGACATGTAGGCCAGCAATGCAAACATGGCAATGGCAAAGTCAAGCAAGGAAGCACGCGCAATGATTGCAAGAGCACCATGCAGTGCAACATGCAGCATCATGTGACATGCGACATGCGGCTAACATGCGGCAGCTCAGTAGAAGGGATGCGGGATGCAGATGCAGCAATCATTCACACGAAATCACACGCCTGCATAATGCTGATGCACCTGAAGCCTAAAACTAAAACTAGCTCTGCAAATAAATCTCGTGAGAGCAACGCAAAACTTGAGGGACTCCAGCATCACAAGCTTGATCTCATTCTTGGGGTAGAACCCCTTCATGGCCTTCATAACGACCTGTACCATTTGATTTAAGCAAGCAATGCATGAAGCTGGCGTGGATGCTGACGTCAAGAAGTCGCCGTGCTCCAGATGCCATGCCTTCGGTCAATCAGCATCCAAACGGCAAACCGTGAGCTAGCACAGAGGCACGCAGGCCCTCGAATTCACCTGTGACAGCATGTAACTCCGTGACTATCACAGAACTACATGGCACGTGCCGCATGCCCACGCTGCCTACAGAGACAGCAGACACACAGACACGCATACACACAGCCACACATGCACCCACACGCACGCATTACGCATGCTCACATACACAGATGCACACTCGCTCGCCCAAGCAAGGCGGCAGACACACAGATACACATACACGGACCAACGGACAAACAAACAGAGACTGTGTTGCAGTGGCATCTGGTGTGCATGAAGGTGGTGTGGTGTGGCAGCGCTGTGTTTCTGCGGGTGTCTGTGTGGGATGGTGTCCGGCGGCACTTGTGCTGTGGTGTGTGGTGTGCCTTGTGACATTGTGTGTGTGTGTGTGTGTAGCAGTGTATGTGTGGGTGGCGCATGGTGTGTGTGAGTGTTGTCTGTGTGTGTGTGTGTGTGCGAGTGTGTGTGCACTGCACTGTCGCCCACGCATGCACACACATAACATACAGATATCTCCAAAACTTCGCGCCTCGAAGGACTCAAGCAATTCGAACGTCTGGAGACTGTGCCCAAAGGACTTGGCTTCTTGGAACTGCGCGATGGACTCGAAACTGGAGGAGTATTCCTGCCTCACCCACTGATCGTACTGTCGTTGATAGGTGGTCATTTTTGTGGTAATGCCTTGGTCGGCGCATCGTCTGCGCCAGCCAGCTTCTGCCTTGAGAGCTTCGTGGACTTGCCCCATGACAGTCTGGCCACTTCCGACGTGATGTCGGTTGTGTTCCGACACCAGCCACGCCACTACGTGGTCTGGCGTGTCTTTTGACAGGACCCGGCACCTTTGCAATCCCTGTTCCAATGCCATTTTCACCATCGGATGCTCCGGCGAGTGCTTTGCGCAAGCATACAGGGCCTCGCGGCGATGATTGTAACTGAGCGCAAGCAGAGGGTAGTTGTGTTGCTTGGGACCCTTCCCCCAGCGGAGCCATGGAAGTCCTGCGCGGCATGCCCAGTTAAAGATTGAGTGATTATAGAAAATATAGGAGATGACCGATGACCCGATGATTCCCGATGATCAATGATGGTCCGCCATAGTGATGACTGATGACAGTGATGACGGTGGCAAGCAGGGACAGCCATCTAACTGTGAACCATGTGCAATGACGGCAGACCAGACCGACCGACCCATCGTGCTGCAAAGCGTAGCTGCACGGCTGCTATGGCGGCAACAGGCTGACTGCATGCAACCCCCAGCAATACCTAGCAGCATCTGGCGAACGCGCATGTTGAGAGTTCAGACTGTTCAGACTGCATCCATCGACAACAACGTAACAAACATCAACATTTATCAACATCAACAGACTCAACATGTTCTACCTTGCACATGGTTGGCACGCCACCAGTCCACCAGCGCCTGGAACTACTGTACTACTGAACTGTACGACTCGACGCCCGACGAATCCATGTACACGCAAAACCTCTTGCTTTAGCATTACTGTCTGTTACATTACTGTCTGTTACATGAGGCAGCATGAGGCACATGGTACATGAGTCATAAGGCACACATGACTGACAGCCAGCCTGACAACACACAAGCACACAGGCACTGGCACACCTGCGACGTGGCGATAGGAAGGCCCTGGGAAGGCGACGAGCAAGGGCCGCAAGGGCAGTGACACACAGTGACACTCTTGGCGCAGCCAATACCACTGCCACCACTGCAGCAGCAACCAGAACCAGACTACCACTGCCACCACTACTGCAGCAGCAACCAGGGCTCCAGGACTTGAACCAGGGATGATTCAGCGACGATTTAATGTGATTAGTCTTAGTGACTCAAAGCAGCACCGTCGCACCGAACTCCGTGACTCACCGTGTTGATTCCTGTTTTGCTTGTTTTTTGCATATGCCTGACGCCTGAGGCACGACCGTCACGACCACGTACGATTGCCATATGATTTCACATCTAGCAAACCAGCCCAGCCTCATCATCATCATCAGGCTATCACAAGTCACAAGTCACAAACTCGTCACACACTGTCTCACACTCTCACACTGTACAAATGAACAATGACAAGTCAACGAGTCAACATGAGTCAACAACAATGCATGTCAACAGCAAAATTGAATCGTCCGTCAACTCATACACACACACACTGACACTGTTTCAGCAACAATACATAGACTAGTTATTCCATTAAACATATCGCAAATCATCAATCATCAACCGTACTATACCGGTATACAGTATACAACCACACTCTGCAAAGCTGCAATTTGTGAGCGCTGCGAAACACACGAAGCAACATTATCATGGTGTGACGGGCGCGACATGACCGCGATATGTTTACTTTACTTTACGTGCTTGCCCAACCTGAGCAGTCCGCTGCGAGACCGCTTTTCAGCAGTCGTTGCTCATACTCTTTGACGGTCGATTGCTGCAAAGGTCTGTTGAGTGGATCAGCGATGATGTTTGGTTTCCCGTCGGCGACGTCGAACCACGGGATCGTGATGTACCTCGAAGTCAACTGAAACACGAAAACATCAGGGTCACTATCACGGACATCGGGAGCCATGTTGATTTACATGGCTTGCTATTCCCATGCATTGGACAGCCGTGATACTCTTGCTTGGGGTCACCGAAGATCTCAAAAATCTTTTCGATTCTCATGGCACCGGTCACATCCGAGCCAACGAGCGCCTCGATGCTGTCTGGAAGCGACGACATAGCCGTAGCCCGCACGCGGAGGGAAGAGACTGAAAAGACTTGTCAGGTCAGTCTCGCGTAGACTACGGATCAGCCGAAAATTTGCTGCCAGGGGTTTAGCAACTCCAAAGCACCCGAGATCCGAGATCACATGATCGTGACAATGTGCACCTGAATGGGCAGTGGCGGGCAGTGGGCTACACAACAGCCAGCAACAAAGCTCCCGCACGAAGCTTGACTCATTGACTCATGGTACTTTCTGCTTATGCTGTCGTGAAATCCGTGTGCAAGGCAGGGCAGATATGTGTCATGCAGTACGGTGCAGCAGCACTGTCCACGTCCAGTCCACAGCCCATGGCATAGCAAGTTCGCGTGACAGATAACACACTGCAGTGCTGGCTTTGACTACTGGAAGAACTGAGTGCTGTGGCCGGCAGTAGACGAAAACAACGACAGCCAAGCGCCAGGCAATAGACGCCGCAGATGCCGCAGGCCGCAGCCTGTCCCAGGCAAGCCACGGCCCCAACGCACACATCAACAAACTGAACAAAGAACAATCGTGACAATCGTGATAACTATGGATTTGGCTGTGTGGCTTCAGTTAGCAGCTAGCTGTAAGAAAAGGAATCAATTTCGGCAAGCACGACCACTACGGCCTTTACAGCTCCAATCTTCTAAGTATCAGTGATATGAGCACCTCCCAACGCCACTTTGCAGCCGGAGAGAAAGAGTGGGCTGTGGTCGGCCTTGGCAGAGCACTTTAATGTCTTAGCATTCTGTTCTGTTATTGCGGCATCCACTGCCATGTCAAACCAAATCAGACATGCTCTGCATGACGTTACAGGGTTCTTACATGTTGACATGGTAGTGACGACATGATGACATGTAGCGCATGGCCCATGGCCCATGGAACATGAAACAATGTAAATGGAACGGGGTCTGTTGTCACATGTTGTCTGTTGTGGCTTTGTCCATGGTTCCTTGGGCAATCAGCGCAAAAAAGAAGACAGTCGCAGAGCCAGAGGTGAAACTGTGCCCACTGCCTCTACGTGCGCAGCATCACATCACCACACCCTCATCAGGCTCATCAGGAGCACACACGTCACGTAGCTGTCGCTGACAGTCCAGTCCACTCTGAATCTGTTTCGTTCCGACTCCACACGAGTCATTCTCCAGGTCCTGGCCGCGATTTGCACCTGTGGCGCTTCCTCACAGGCTCAGCGCCACCGCCGCCGCCCTGGCTGCGCGCCCTTGGGTTCTGTAGCATGGCCGCCCTCCTCACCGACTCGTTGAAGAGCGATACTTCTGCCACAATCCTGTTTGAGGCACAGGCACAGGTGTCATACTCGGATACGCAGCCAACGCACAGCTCAACTTTACTTTCCTTCATTTTACTACATGTGCGTCCTTGAATCACGAACACACACACCGAGACACTGACCCAAACTCATCACATCAGAATCATCAGCCACGGATGCAGGTCGCATGCCACCTACTGGACCAACAAGGACGCACGAGTCTAAGTCACAAGTACACGAGTAAGTCGTACAGTCACAGCCACAGCCAAACCCGCCAACCCCTCCCCCCCCCCAGTACACACCGACGCACACGTCCGTGCACCCGTACTCCCACACAATTTCCACACCCACACACACACACAGCACACACACACACACAGACACAGTACCCGCACACCGCGCGCACACACACGCAGGCAGATGCACATGCGCAGGCACAGACAGAGACCGAGACACAAACAGAGACCGAGAGACAGACACGCAGACGGACCCAAGGACGTATGGATGGACGCGGACTCATAGACAGAAGCACAAACAAAGAGACAGAC